GAGCTCAGGAGTTGCAGGTATCCCTTAAAACACTGTGTGATGCTCATCGCCTCTGCGTGTGCTGTTCATCTGTCCAGTAAATTGTGTGTTGCAGTAAAAGGTGCTCTCTTACGGCTCTTATGTATTTTACATCGTGCCTAATACAATACTGTAAACCCTGAATTACACTATGGGGCCCATAGGAAGTGCCCCTAGAGATGCTGAACCTTCTCCCAAGAAGCAGAGAAAGCCACAAATTTACAAAAAAAGCGGAATTGCTTGGTATGTACCATAGACTGTCAGTCGGCTGCCATTTCGAGATAAATGAATCCAGTGTAAGAAACAGCGTAACAAAAGAAAACTCGTGAAGCCACTGCTGCAGCTATGCCAGCAGGCACGAAAACCTGGCACATTTTGTTAAATCCTTTTTAATCTCATATTGCAAATGAAGCTTTTATGTGGGTGCAGGATTGCTGTAAGAAAGACATACCTATAAACTCTAATATGATTCAAGAAAAAGTGAATTCTTTCCTGACAACTTAAAGCAAAAAGAGGGTGAAGGATGGTTTGATAATTTTAGAAAGGTTTGGCCTTAAAAGTTCAAGATAACAGGAGAAGCAGCTTCTGCTGACCAAGAGGCAGCAGATGAGTTCCCAGACGCCATTAAGAAAATCACTGAGGGCCAGGTGTGGCTCTCACCTGTAATCCCAGCACTTTGGGAGGCCAAGGCAGGTGAATCACTTGAGGTCAGGAGTTTGAGACCAGCCTGGCTAACACGGTGAAACACTGTCTCTACTAATACCACAAAAAGTAGCCAGGCACGGTGGTGGGCACCTGTAATCCCAGCTACTTGGGAGACTGAGGCAGGAGAATTGCTTGAACCCTGGAGGTGGAGATTGCAGGGAGCCAAGATGATGCCATTGCACTTCAGCCTGGGCCCTATTCTTAGGAAAAAACATTCCACAAAGGACATTTATTGGTAAGGAAGAGAAGGAGCACCAGGACTTGGGAAGGGATAGATCAACTCTGCTGGTTTGTGCAAATGCAGCTGAGTTTGTGATCAGAACTGCCCTCATCCATAAAACTGAACCTTGAAGGGAAAAGATAGACATCACCTGCCAATCTTTTCATCGTCTACTAAGAAAGGAGGACAGTGAGAACCTTTTCCTGGATTGGTTCCTTTGATACTTTGTCCCTGAAGTCAGAAAGTACCTTGCCAGTAAGTGACTGCCTTTTAAAGTTCTCTTGGTATTGCATAATGCCCCTGGCCACCCAGGACCCTGAGTTTAACACCAAAGATGTCAAAGTGGTCTTGCCCCAAAACAATGCCTCTAATCCAGCCTCTAGATCAGAGGCTCATTACACATAGAACTCCATGGAAAGGATTGTTAATGCTATGGAAAAGAACTTTGATAGAGAGAACATCATGAAAATCTGAAAGACTGCACCATTGAAGATGCCATTAGCGTTATAGAAAAAGCCATGCAGGCCATCAGCCCTGAAACAGTTCCCACTGGAGATAACTGTCCAGAGTTGTTCATGACACCACAGGATTTATGACAGGGCCAACAAAGGAAATCATGAGGAAATCATGGATATGGCAAAAAAAGTTTCAAGGTATGGATCTTGGAGAAATTCAAGAGCTAAAAGACACCACACCAGAGGAATTAACAGAAGACCACTTGATGGAGAAGCCTTACCAATAACATAAACAATTGCCATATATTTTATGTGCTATATATATTAATGGTTTATTCTAACAATACAGTAAGCTAAAGAAAAGAATGTTATTTTAAAAATTATCAGGACGAGAAAATATATTCAAACCAAACAAATTGACATTAGACAATGTGGCAGAAGGGTCCTGATGACTCAATGCTTTTGACGTCTTTCACAACATGGATGGTTTTATGATATGGGCGCCGAAACAAAAGCAAATGGTGGAAGAAGGATTGGTACTGTATGGAAAAATGTTTAGAGAAATGAAAAAGCAAAACTGTCAGGAAGAAATTAGGATGTGTTTTTGTAAAGTTACATCAAGCAAGCCTGCCTCTGCTACCTCCCCTTCCACCTCCTCCATCTCTTGTGGCTTGGCCGCCACTGAGACAGCAAGATCAACTCCTGCTCCTCCTCCTCCACAGACCACTCAACATGAAGATGATGAGAATGAAGACCTTTATGAATAGTGAATATATTTTCTCTTTCTGATAATTTTTTAAATAACATTTTCTTTTCTTTAGCTTACTGTATTGTTAGAATAAACCATTAATACATACAGCATATAAAATGTTTGGTAATTGTTTATGTTATTGGTAAGGCTTCTAGTCAACAGTAGGTTATGGGTAAAGTTTTTGCAGAGTCAGAAGTTTCATGTGGATTTTTGACAGCATGGAGGGCCAGCACCCCTAGCCACCACGTTGCTCCAGGGTCAACTGTGTATCAGACTTTCATTTGTAGACTTTACTTCAAAACCTGCTTAGTCCTTGACAGAATCATTGGGAAGGCCTAAATCTAAAGAACTCTTTCTTACATTAAAATGGTTTGTTTTTGTTATTTTGGTGATTATTTTATTTGCTGAGCAGAAGCTCTTTAGTTTGTGCAGTCCCGTTTATTTACTTTTGTAGTTTGAGCTTTTGTTGTGACATTCAAAATATTGCCAAGGTCAAGGTTGAGGTGCTTTTCCACTATGTTCTCTTCTAGGAGTTCTATGATTTTTGGCCTTTCATCCATTTTGAGTTGGTTTTTGTGTATAGTAAAATAAAAGTCCAATTTCATTATTTTGTGTGTAGAAATCCAGTTTTCCTAACACCATTTGTTAAAGAGATTATTCTTTCCTGATTGTGTCCTCTTGATGGCTTTATTGAAAATTAGTTGTCCATATATATTTAGATTTATTTCTGAGCTCTATACTCTGTTTAATTGGTCTGTGTTTTTGTTTTACTGCCAGTACCGCATTGTTTTAGTTACTATAGCTTTGTAATATAATCTTAAATCAAGTATGATGCCTCCAACTTCTTTTTTTTAAATGAAAAAGCAACCTATGAGCTGGGAAATAATTATTTGCAAACCACATATGGGTTTAATAACCAAAGTTTATAAAGAACTCTTGCAACTCAATAGCAGAAAAACAAATGACCTGATTAAAAAATGGGTAAAGGACCTGAATAGACATTTCTCCAAAGACAACATAAAAATGGCCAAAAAGCTATATGAAAAGGTGCTCCTTTTCATATATGATTAGTGCACATCACTAATCCTAAGGGAAATGAAAATTAAAACCACTGAGCTAGTACCTCATACCTGTAAGGATGGCTATTATCAAAAAGATAAGAGATAGCAAATGTTGGTGACGGTGTGAAAAAAGGGAACTGTGTGCACTGTTTGTAGAATGTAGGTTGTTGCAGCCACTCTGGAAAACACCATTGAAAACATTGACAATAGAAATACAGTATGACCCAGCGGTTGTCCTTCTGGTATATGCTCAAAGGAGAGAAAATCAACATCACGAAAGTCATCTGCCCTCCCATGTTCATTGAGCATTAGTCACAACAGCCAAACTATGGAAACAACCTAAAAACCCATCAATGAACAAATTAATAAAAAAAATATACAGGAGTGTGTGTGCATATGTGTATACACACACATATACACGATAGAATATTCAGCTTTGCAAAAGGAGAGCTTGCCATTTGCCACACTGTGGATGGACCTGGAGGACATTATGCTAAGTGAAATAAACTAGACACACACACACACACACACACACACACACACACACCCCTACAGGATCTCACTTATGTGTGAAATCTGTGTCTTCACCAGAGCTCAAAGACACCAAGATAGATGATGGAAGTGTGGTAAATGGGATAGGTGGGGAGGGGTAAGAAATGGGGAGATGTGGGTGAAAGGATACGAAACAGCAGCTGCTAGGATGAAGAAGTCCAGGTATGTAACATGCAGCACAAGTGCTAAAGTTAATGAAACCATAGTAATTAGGGATTTTCGTGAGCTGCATAGATTTTAGCTGTTCTTGTCGCAAACAAAATTAGTGATATGGGATAATAGATACACGAATCTGCCTCACTACAGTTATTAGTACTATTATCTTTGTCTCTGTAGGTATGGATCCCATAAGATCATGTTACAAACTGCAAGTATACATAATACACTTAATTTTTTTAAAAAATAGTAGGTTTTCGTGGAAAAAGAATCAACTTTGACACCTTCTGCTACAGTGTGACGTTGCTCTTTATTACTAGCAGGCTTTGGAAAATATTTGTTGATACACTTTTTTACTTACTGATGAGCTCATCTTTCAATTCTATTAGAATGGTATCTGATAACAGAGTTTGTCTCGGAAATAAAATATTTGATGGCAATTCTGGCTATATATTTCCAGAATTGTTTGTATGTGTGTGTGTGTGTGTGCGCGCGCGCGCGCGCGTGCATATATATATATATATATATATATATACACGCACGCGCACGCACACACACATACACAATTAGAGAAGAACTTATCAACAGCTTTAAAAATCTAAGTATTTGAATTGTTCAAATTCTAAGCTGATGAGTAGGAAGGAAAGTATGTTGTATGTACCTATCAAGTTTATGGGGGAGGACAATAGAGCATCTTTTATTTTTTCATTCCATTTGGAAATTCAAGGTAAGGTTGAATTACAGAATCTATACTCCTTCCTTAAAATTAGTCATCAAACATGAGCATATATTTAAAACTGTTCACAGGGTACTATGGAGGCTTTTGATGTAAATTAAAAGTATGGCATAAGTTCACTAAGATGTTAAAAATCTACAGACAGAAGAGGAAAAGATGCCTATTTTATAAAGTTAGTTCCACAAGTTGGATGATGTTTTGTCAGCCATCTGAGTTGTTGCTGTTGCATTTCATCAGTGACACTAATCTATAAACTAATGTATAGACTGTCTCTCTGCTCTGTGTAGCTTATAACTGATTACTGACTCTGAGTTAACACGGCACACCTGGTCATCTTGTCTTGTAGGCTTACATGTATGAAATGGGCTCTAGCACGTTTTCTCACCGGCTGGCTGGGCACACAGACATTGTCACCGGAGTGGCCTTCAACCCGTCAGCACCCCAGGTACAGTCTTGCTGAGTGGGCGGGGCACCTCTGCTGCACACGTCTTACATTATATATTTGTATCTTTATGACTTTATTTTGGTGAAATCTTACAATATTTAAGGTTACATGCCAGCATTCACTGAGTACAGGGAGAACTTAGGAAACAAACTTCTACTGGGGAGAAAAAGAAATAAACCTTCATTGTAGGAAAATGAATCTGGAAAAGTTTCTTTATAATGAAGGTGTTTGCCACTCATCACTCGTGCATGTTTGATCCGAATGAAACAGGAATGTGTGGGAAGACCCATGGACAAATACAGTTACCTGGGGCACTGACATGGACACCAGTGCCAGCAAAAAAGCAAGCAGCAGAGCAAGTAAGAACAGGATTTTGAAAATTCTTATGGAAAAAAGACCACAACATTTCTAGAAACTTTCTTAATTAGAAGAAAACATGAAAATAACCATTGCAAATCAATTGTATATAAAAATTAATGGTCTTCTGTTAAATATAGAGGAGACTTTTAGCAAAAGATTAAAAATATTAGATATTGGCTAGGCATGGTGGCTCACACCTGTAATCCCAACACTCTGGGAGTCTGACGCGGGTGGATCACCTGAGGTCAGGAGTTCAAGACCAGCCTTGCCAACATGGCGAAACCCTGTCTCTACTAAAAAATACAAAAATTAGCCGGGTGTGGTGGTGGGCACCTGTAATCCCAGCTACTCTGGAGGCTGAGGCAGGAGAATCTCTTGACTCTGGGAGGTGGAGGTTGCAGTGAGCTGAGATCGCAGCACTGCACTTCAGCCTGGGCAAACAAAACGAGACTCTCAAAAAAAAAATTAAAAATAAATATTGGGTATTAATTAAACTCCAGTGTTTGGAAATAATTTCATTTTGTCTCTTTAAGATTGAGGCTTTGATTCATAGAATAGCGTCATTGTGTGACTGTGTGCTCTGGCCTAGTGCATGTGACCAGGTGGAACGACACTCTACATGTGTCTTTTGACCTGCTCTTCTCCACTAGACAATGACTGCTGTGGTTCAGGGCACGTTGCAGTGCCTGGCACAAGTGGTCCTGCCACTGAGTATTGAATGTTGAAAATGAGTAAGTGCATCTTATGCTATCACGGACTAGAGTTCCCATCATCACCGTGGTTTGAAGGCTTCGAGATACTCCAGAGTTCCATCCTTGGCCCTAATGTATCTTTTCAGTCTGCTGCAGATGGGAATTTGAATTTAAGTTTTCCTTCCCTATTATAAACAATACTGAAAAGTACATCTTGATGATGCTTCACTCTTCCTGTGATGAGACTGTGCCATGTACACTGTAAAGCACCTGCTTTTCTAGATAATACTTGTACCATCACCTATTTCTGCATTTTTAAAATGTACTGTTTTGTGTTGTATTCTTTTGTAGTCCTTTGAACAGCATTTAGGCAGTGAGATGGAGGAGTGGTCAGGAAAGAAAGATGAAAAGTGCAAAGCCAGACCCAGCAGGGTGGATGGCGGGGAGTGGTATAGTGATTTATGGGGGGAACCAGATGTTAGTTGTCTTGACACTTCAGTATTTGGCATCAAAATGTCTTTTAGCCTGACTGAGGGAATTTTTTTGAGTATTTGAAAATTTTCAATGAAAAGTTGTGTAGGTCTCTATTGGCCTTGAGATTAATCAATAAAAGAAGTAAATATGGCGTAAATATCGTTCTAAGAAAGAAAGAGGAAAAAGCAACAAGTTGTAGTTGTCACGAACCTTGCTTCTTGATGAAGGGCTGCTAAAGATCAGGCAGCGAGAAGCCAGTTATGTATACGTATTCATCATACTGATTCATTAAACATAATGATATAACACTGAATTGTATATATATTTCACTAAGTTCATTATACTTATTCATGTATATAGGAGTGAGTATAATTATTGGTTCTTTGTTAATTTTTTAAAATTTCCTTTCTTTACTGATATTAGTCCACTTTCTTCCACATATATCACCTCACTATCGTTCCTCTGTTTCCCAGCATTGTAAATCAAACAACTGGAAGTATTTCAGTTGTTATTTAGTTGTTATTTAAATGGTATTAAAATATTATGACCACAATAACTTTTAAATTATGTTTTCTGATCATGTAGATTTTATCAGTTTGGACAGTATTAGTAAGTATTGAAGAGACAGTTAACCACATAAAATTGGGTAAAAGTAAGATCTGGAAACAACAGGCAGGAAAAGTTTTGTTAAAAGTAAACAGGATAAAGAAGCACTTGGGATGGAGGGACAGGACACTAAAAATCTTCTCCTACACAAAGGCAATGAAAACAGTAACAGAAATTGTCAAAACCTGCTTCCTTAGAACTCTGAAATTAACCAGAGGCTTTCAACAAACCAAAGAGCATGTATGAAAGAAAAATGGCTGAGTCTCAGTAAAACAGCAACCTTTGAAGCCTATCCTGCATAATTTAATAAACAAGGAGTGCTTCACTTTAAAATCAATACCATCAGGTAGCAAGTGAAGCACAGGTAAACTTGGAGGTAAACTCTTATTTAATATGTGATTCCATTTTGCAGTATATGAGGGTGCTGCTGTTTTGAAGGAAGGATTGATAGTACTCTCCTAAGCATGGTTTATTTTGTTTATGATATAAAAACACACATACAAGGAAAACATGGGAACAAGTATGGTCAAATACTGGAAGTCTGTGCCACAAACACCAATAGCATTTCCCCTGTCTAACAATCAGATCTGGTTAATGAGAGAAATGCTGGAGCTGTGAAAATTGGGAAGTGAAGCAATGAGAGCACAGGTCATACTTGGGGAATTGCTACTTTCTTTATTGATTATAATCAACTATTCAGAATTTTATAGAACAGGTCCAGACCTGATGCAGGAAATCCCAAAATTAGGGCTCACCCTCGGAGGGTTCTTGGCTTTGCTCAGGGAAGAATTCAAGAGTGAACTCGTAGTGAAAGAAAGCACGTTTTTTAGAGCAAAGTGTGCAGCAAAACAGCAGCTGCACAGACAGAGCAGGGCCACGCCACTGGTGGAGCTGCTGGCAGCAGCACACGGTTGCTGGTGGGCATTGTTATACCCACTCTTAATTACATGCCAAATAGGGGGTGGGCTATTCATGAGCTTTCTGGAAAAGGGGTGGGAGTTCCCAGAACCATAGACGTTAATGTCTGGGTTGTTTCTATGCATTTGTAAACTCTCACCGTATCAGTGAGAGTGTTTTATGCAGATGAATTATAATTCATGCATAATCGATAATGAGGGCAACCAGAGATGGCTTTGGCACCATCTTGGTCCCAGCTGGTTTGGGCCAGTTCCTGTGCTACATCCTGTTTTGACCAGCAGAGTCATGACCTAGGCTCTGGAAACAAGCCCTGCTGACCCCTGCCTCAAACCCTCTAATTGTTAATTTCTGATGGGTACTTGGTAATGTTCTCTCTTACATAAATTTGATTTAAAACATCTATCTTATGATAAATAAATTTTTAGCTCCACAGTCATTACTACTACTTTGAAGTAGGCTGTTTTGTTAGATGGTTTAAGTCTCTCTAATCTACCTCCACATTACAGCCTCATCAAATGATCAGACCTTTCATCTATGACTTCATCAAGTTTTTCTTGATAAAATGTACAGCTGGTCATTGCAGGATGACATCTGATGCCAGGAGTAAGCAGGTTTTGGGAATGGCCAGTTCACTATTGACTGTTGTAACCTGGTGGAGAAATGTCACAGAAGCACAGCTGGTGCCACTGACACCCAGCTTTTGATGATCTTTGCAATCAGGAGGAGAAACTCGTGGAAATTGGCTCAGCCAGGAGGCAGACTCTGGCTGCTGCCACGTACCTAGGGTGCTAGTGAGAGTCCTTCCATTAGGGGGAGAAACTCGTGGAAATCGGCTCAGCCAGGAGGCAGACTCTGGCTGCTGCCAGGTACCTAGGGTGCTAGTGAGAGTCCTTACATTAGGGACCCAGAGCCTGATGACGTCTACTGCAGCTCCCGCTTCTTATTCCTTCATAACACGGGTGTCTGTCAGGCTGTAGACGTCTTGATCTCCCTGAGTCTCTCAGACAAAGATGGTCGCTAATAGCATTTGTGTGTATTTTACAAGGTTGCTTGGGAGTAAATGATGTCATATAAAATAACCAAAGCGACTGTTGAGCATCCCTCAAGAGTGAGGAGCTGTTTGAGCGTCTTTCCTCATTATCGAGTTCTTGTCAGTAGCTCTGTCTGCAGTGTTAGTGCTGCCGTGTCTCAGATGAAGAGTGTGGGGATGCAGACAGATCAGTTTATATGCAGAGTGTGCACCAGCATCCCGACAGCTTCCAAGCCCACGCAGTTACACCCCATTGTGAGCTTCTGTGCGGGAAATCTGTTAAGCGCTGCACACATTTGTAATGAGATAAAACACATTGTTTTTTTGCCATTTGTATTTAAATATTTTAAAGTTCTTTTTGAAATTGTAAAAAAAAAAAAAAAATCTAGATAGACTTCACATTCATCCAAAATGCAGGCGTGTTTTGCAAGTCCTTCCTGGGCGCTGAAACAACTTCCTGGCCTGTCACATTCACAAGAGGACTTTCTGGAAGATAAGCCGTGCCATTGTTTTTATTTTCCAAATGGCAGCCCACAGTGTGGCTGTGGATAAGGAAGTGAACTTCATGCTGGCTTCTCACCTCATGCACGGTGTGGGCACCGTTATTCCGAGGCCCTGTCGCACTTCCACAGAGCGTGCCTTCCGCCTGCAATCTCAGAAGGACCCGCGTTTGCTCACTAAGCATGCTCTACGTGTCAGCACTGGGGAGCAACGACACCCGCGTCCCAGCAGGAGGATCAAACACATGCCAGAGAGACGCGCTTCGTGGAATCAATAGGCGATAGATGGATGGAGACAGACGGATGGAATTTTTTTTTTTAACGTGAATTGGCTCACGCAGTTGCAGAGGCTGGGAAGTCCCACGATCTTTCGTGTGCAAGTTGGAGCCCCAGGAGCTGGGGGTGCTGCTCCAGCCGGAGTCCGAAGGCCCGAGAAGGGGTGAAGAGTT